CTTCCCTCACGTAACTCGAATATTGTCGAGCAATCGATAATTTCTCTCACGTATTTTCAAATTTCGTCAAACAAACCCCCCGCTGCGTGTTCGGCCACGTGTTCTAAATGATTTTGCCCCTTTTCGAACCTCCGTAAAATTCCCCGCACGATCCGGACGTTATAATTCGGTAATTACGAGAAAGTTTGAAGAATCCGCGCGAGAGAGAGAGAGAGAGAGAGAGGGAGAGAGAGAGACGAGACGAGACGAGACGCGCCATATTTTGCGAAGACCCCTTTCGCGGAGATTTTTAAGTATTCCGCTATACGCGGGTCGTGTGTATTCGTCTCGCGCGCGTTTCCTCCTGATCTCACAATGAGAATTTTACGACCTTCCACGCGAAACGTGTCCAGATTGGGCGCCGCGTGTTTTACACGGCGGTTAAATCACACACATCGGAGGAACGAAAGGTAGAGAGAGAGAAAGAGAGAAGTTCGATCGTTTTATACGTTTCCACCGAGACGCAGCGAAAGTCCTCGGAAACTTTTCGAATAACTCGACGATCGTCCAAGTTGGACGATATTTCCGCTCGTCCCTGCATCGGCCGGTCCCGCGCGTTGAAACGAGGGAATCTCTACCGAAAACGGCGAACCCTTTTGGGATCTTTGACACGGACAGCGAAAAAAACTCATCTCGCACATGTAACATTTATTGAAACTTTTCTCTTTCGACAGTATCGTCGTAAATTGTCCCATTCCAAAATGAATGTTTTCGGTTATCGAATTACAGCGATTTTTTCAAATTGTATTTTGAAAAAAGAAGTGTGTTTGCGCGCGCGCGCGCACAAAATCAATCAAGTGTCGCGTATGGTGAAAAAAAATATTTGAAATTGTTATTTTCTCTCTGTTATTTACTGGCTTAGAGCAGTTGATACACACTACATTCTACAATACTGTCCTTTGAAGTGTCCTCGGCGAAACACCAATATTTTAACAACTATCGTTGTGTAGTCCATTTAGTGCGGTTGTGCTCTAGAAAAGAAAAAATACAACGTAAAAATACCATATGCTTTTTTTCACGGTTTCACGACGATTCGCTCTTTTTTCCTTCGCTCTCTTTGTTTTCCGCGTCGAACAAAACCTACGCGCCTTGATACAGATTTTCAAATAAAACAATGCGCGTATTTTTTCTCTCTCTGTAAAAGAACGTTTAACCCTTTGCTATAATTAAACGCACGATTGAGAAATATTTCAGTTTCGAGTGTCGCGACGTTTAATTTCAATTGATATGGAAAGTTTCTTTGTTTGAAATTTTTAAACGCAATCTTTTTTAATATATATATTTTTTAATAAATATCCTTGAAAATATCGTGCGGAAGATTGCAGCAAGTTTTGGGGTGAGGAGGGGTGGGTGGGAGGGAATTGTCTCAACGCAACTTTTACGCGAAAATCTACACAAAAGCGATTGCTACATTTCCTTCCTTTTCTTTGTTCGAATATAATTTGTAACTTGGCCAGAGAAAGTTGTCTTTCTTTTCTGAAATATTAATAAGAACTTCCGTTGAGTATCTTTTACAAAATCAAAGCCTGGTTTATATATATATATTCCAAAGTGCTGTGTTTCAAGACACTTATAAAAAATCGAACCTCTCGCTCGCTCTCTCGTTCGCGCGCGCGCGCGAGCCGTCAATATTCATGGCCCCCGAGCATCTCTTCTTTCTCTCTCGAAGTGCGCATGTTTAAGACAGCGCGATCCAATTATTTCGGTCGTCTGTCGTCGCGCGATCAACTCTCGTCGTCAAGGCCGAGAAGCGAAAAACGTGAGAACGAGCGCGATTCGTGACAGCTTCCTTCCGCGCTCGCCGACTCAGCGCAATATTTCACTCTCTCCCTCGTCTCTCACTCGCTGTTCGGAGCAGGGCGTATCGACATTTGGAGAAAGCCACGGATCCGTAAGTGGCCGTTATTAGAGTGTATAAAAACCGATATAATAACGCGTCCTCGTGCCGGGAATAAATGCGATCCCAATTCCGCGCGCGTCATCAGACAAACTCCCCGGAGAAATTATCCTCCGCTCGCAATTTTTTTTATTTTTATTTTTTTTTTTTTTTTTACTTTCTCGCTCCGCTCTTTGTATGGTTCCCTTACAAAGTAGCCAATTATCCCGGGGGGTAGGTCTCTTTCTTCAAGATTTGTGATACGACAATATGCTCGCTCCTTCCCTTGAAACGTTTCCCAGTTTTATTTTTGCTCGTTATAACAATTTTTTCTTACGTTGTGCTGTTTATTATTTTTTCTTACATTATATTTATGTAAAAAAAAAGTTTACACGGTAGATTTAAGTGTAACTTAAACGTTGCGTAACGTCGTCGCACACATTTTATAAAACAAAACAGGACCTTTGAACGTACAAATAAGCTACAAAATGTGTGTAGTTTTTTCTTCCTGCTCCGAAATTGACTCACAAATTTACGCTGGCGTCGAATTTGAAGTTTCGCATCGTTACACACACGTATTTTAACACGATCGTATCGCGCAACGAAGTTCCCGAAACGCATTTGTCAATCGTGCTATCGGAGACCGGACTACTTTATGTTGCGCGCCGTTATTGTTCGCGTAACCGCGACACAGGCGGTGAGAAATTACATTGCGTCTGTGTGTCGCGCGCATGCATGCGCGATAGACAACGTCTCTTCCTCGGAAACGTAATCTTCCTCTTAAACAGCACCTGTTTGAGTGGCGCAACGCCAATCCCTTATAGGGCAATCTGTAAATAGCGGTTCACGTTTACGCAAGCCTCGTGAACGCGAGGTGCTCTCCTCTTTCCGGTTTGACGATTGTTCGCAAACTTGTAACATCTCGAGACGCGATAAACCGCGCGCGAAAACTCGCGTCGCGCTTGTTTGTGTGTGTGTGTGTGTGTCAATTTTCATAAAAGAGACGCCACTTTTCCTCTCGTTCCTTCCGCCAGTTTCTCTTTTCCGTCGCTCTGTTGTGTTGCGGCGGAACGTTCAAAATGCTATTTTAATTAAAACCGCTGTTTCAAACGACTCCCCGTGAAAGACCTCCCCGAGGAGTGAGCGCGCGCGAAGTGTTAATAATTCGCGAGAGCTGCTACCGGGAGTCACATCGCAAACCGCAAGAAATATTCTACTTATTATTTTCAACTCAAGCGGTCGCTCTCTCTCTCTCTCTCTCTCTCTCTTTCTCTCTCTCTCTCTCTCTCTCTCTCACTCTCTCTTTCTCTTTACGATTTAAATAGCTCTTTAACTGCCTTTCACTAGCGTGTGCAAAGCGCTTCCGAATAATTACGGACGGGATTTTCCAGAATTCGCGCCACCTTTTCTTAATTGCGGCAATTTGCCATTAAATTGAAAAGAATGGCGATTACGCGCCAACGCGACATCCCTCCAATTGCGGTGTTAAACGCGCTTTAGAAGAACCCGTCTAATCATTACTTCTGAATGTCGAATTTGTGTCGCGCGCAAATAATCCCATTACCGGCGATATTGTTTTCTTCGCGTAATACGCGCGACGTGGTCCTTACGAAGACGCGGCGTCGTCGTCGTCGTCGTCGTGCTTGCGGTCGACCGACGAAACGCGCGCGCTTAACTTTGAGCTATTGCGGCACATTCGACACACTGTATGTACTCATCGAGCTCGTGCTCGCCAACAGGATGTTTGTCTCTCGAAATGCAAAATCTCTGCTTGCGCGAGAGAACATTGGTCTTACTCGAGTTTCCGTCTACACGATTTCAATTAAACTCGGTTTCTTAGTGTGATACCCGGATTAATTACTGCCGTGTAACACTTGGCCGAAAACAAGTCGAACGCCCGGGACGAAAGAAGCTCTCGTTTACAGTTCTCTCTTTTGTTTTTTTTTTGTTTTTTTTTTTACAGTAATATTCTCTTTAAATCTCACAGCGAGTGAGGCTTTATATATTTTGCGCGAATCCAAAAAACAAACTTTTAATTAAAATTGAAACTGAACACTTGGCGTATTTACACTCTGAAAGTAAAATTTGTTTTTGCACGGTGATGTATTTGTGGAAAAAAAAAAGTTTTTTAAACACGTGCGGAACAAATAGAAAATTATATTCCGCGGTAATGTGGCGCACAATCTGTATACTCTTTGTTTTTGCTCACTTTCGTACGTTATTTACTCAGTTTAATTAGCGACTACATTTTTTCTTATTGATTTTCTCTCTCTCTCTTTCTCTAGTCGGTTTTTTATTTTTATTTTGTAAATCTCAGGACGCGTCCGAACGGTCTGCAGCCTCGCTGTAGATTTGTTAGGTCTGCAACTTCTGTTAATCCTGTTTTCATTAATTTTTATTTTTGCTTATTATGCTGCACTTAATAAAGTTACTAAAATATTTTAATTATAATTATTATTATTATTATTACATTTGAAGCAATTCGCGTAATCCGTTTATACGAACGTGTATACTTCGTATGTACACACACGCGCGCGCGCGCGTATGTGGCACAGAGAACGTCAAAGAGCTCTCGCGCAAACTCGGGGTCGCGCATCAATCAGTTGATCGTTGCCGAGTTTACCTCGAAAGATTATATCCCGACTTTGGCACTTCTTGTCCGAGGGGAAACTGACAGACCCGAAATGTCCCGTCTCCGTCACGCGCGCGCCTGAATCCTCAGAAATCGAAGTTCCGGTAACTCATGCGCGAGCATTAACAGAGAGAGAGAGAGAGAGAGAGAGCGAGAGACCCGCGCGTCTCCCCGGAAGACCCGCAAGTCAGATACCTTGATTACTTAGGCGCTAGGGAGTATTGATTTTATCGGGTAGCGCGATTCACGGGTTTCCGTGCCATTAAGCGACCGACTTAATAATTTCTGCAGAGAGATTCTGCGAAATAAATGACTCCGCAACGCGAAAATATTTGATTTTGAAAAAAAATATTAAAATTATAAAACTATCGCTCGATATTTTGCAATATCGAGACGAGAGCCGGTTCGGTCAACAACGATGTCGTGTGTGTGTGTGTCTCGTGCTTCTTCCAGGACTAATAAAGCTTCGGGAGCTGGTGAGATCGCCGAAAATCCGCGACATCGAGGTCAACGTCAGACAGGCGGATCCCGACTCGTACAGACAGGTTCTTTCCGAAATGAAGAGCAGGGAAATACGAAACCTCATCGTGGACACGAGACCCGAGAACATGCACCACTTCCTACGAGTGGTACGTCACTGTGTAGCACACAAATGTAGCGCACAATGTTTGCTCCGTTACGTAAATTATGTTGTATCAAGTTATTTCACCATTTTTTTAATTTGCAAATTAGGCAAACACAATCTAATTAACATTGTCTAAAAAGTTTGAATGTCACATTAGAATGACGAAAAAGAATTATTTTCAAAAACGTAACTTAAATGTTAAAAAAATGTTGAAACTATATTTCACATGTTAAAAAATTCAAATAAACTAAAAGAACGAGTGATAAGAGCGATAAGAAGTTGAAAATTGGTTTCGAAGATAGAGAGAGAGAGAGAGAGAGAGAGTCAAAAATCGACTCGCGCGCACTTCATATAATTCTATTTCGCGAGAACGATCTCCCGCACGACTGACCGTATCGCTTTTCCACGTTACCTTTGCAGATCCTGCAGCTGCAGATGAATGATTACAAGTACCACTACCTCTTCACGACTTTCGTAAGTACCCCAGGGATATTGAAACGCACAGTGAAAATTCAACTCGGTTCGCAACTCGATCCGCAGACTCGCTCGCTTTTCCGCAGGATATCGAGACCTTCGACCTCGAGGACTTCAAGTACAATTTTGTCAATATCACTGCCTTTCGTCTGGTCGACGCGGACGACGTCGGCGTACGTAGCATCCTGAGGGACATGGAACGTTATCAGCCGTCGGGAAACACGATCCTCAATAAGTCGAGAATCATTCAGGTAAAGCGCATGTGTGAGCACTTCGGTTTCGTGTTTATAAAGAAACACGTACTTTCAGAGATATACATACATACATACATATATATATATATATATACATATCGAACGGCATTTTTACGATCAGATAAAACTTTAGTACTGCTAAAAAAGTCTGAACGTGTAAGATAGTTCGCAAGATGCGCGCTTCTCTTCTTCGAGTAAAGCGTAACAAGTGTACGTGTGGGTTGTCGAAGTGGCGGCTTTCATTTCGCAATAACGCTTTATCGGCCATAATTTCTCGCGCTCGTAGCCAATGACACCGGAGCGCCGTTGAGAGATTGGCAACATCTCGGTGAAAGATGTAAACCAATTTATTGCCGCGTTGCATATCCGTTATTGTATCCGCAACGATGTCGGTGGTGTTGATACGTTAACGCTGCCAAATGCTTTATGGGTCCATAAAATCGGTTAAAAGCCGGTCGAAACAAACGCGCGCGCGCACGCACGTCGAGGTAACGAGAATCATATTGTTGAACGAACCGGTGAAGCAACTGCGAATATTTTTTTCCGCGCAATTAAGTTGCGGTTGAACAAAAAAACGCAGAATGAAAACTTCTTCATTGTGCAATAGCCAGTTTTTCAATTTAAAAAAAAAAAAAAAACAAAACAAAACAAAACAAAATACTTAGCCGTTAGCTGCGTGTAAAGGAAGAAGAGAAACGCACACAAAAGCGCGATGTTAAATAAATTTATTGTAGTGTATTACCGTCATTTCGCATTATCAGCTTTGATCTGACGTCGAAGTATATTCTGTCATGAAATCTACATAAAATATCACACAAATATCGCGCGCGCGCGGGCACGCGACAGAGGGAGATATCGGAAAATGGAAATGTAGCCTTTGACTTTGTGCTTTGAATGTAGGTAGGTACGTGTTCCTCTAGCCATATTTCGATGGTTCTATTAAGTTTGTGTAACGATTTTCTCTTTTTCGTAAATGCAATGTGGAAAAACAAATTACATTTGCATTTAAATTGTATAACGTTGTATCCAAAAACGCACGCACGCACACACACACATATGTAGCTACAAAGTAGACTAATGGTGTTCACATTGAGATAACGCGTGTTTTATTTGTACATTTGCGCGAATAATTTTCATTGGCCATACACGACGCGCTAAAACGTAAATTGTTAACGTTTGCGCAGAGAACGTACAAAGTATTTATTAAAAATTATTGTTTACAAAATACAGAAATATAAACAAAGTAATTTCTTTGAAATTATATTACGAACGATATTAATAACAATATGAATTTGCAGGAAATCAGAAAATTGGTTTTCTATATTTTTTAATATTTTTTTTTTTTTTTTTTTTACCGCGTATAATACCGCCGCGGATGGAACGCAGCCTCAATATAATTACGAATTTACATGGCTAAAAATGAGATTCGGAAGGGGAAGCAACTTTCCCGCTTGATGACGTGTAACAGAATTACGTTGCGCGTAACATTCGCTATGTATGTAAAATTTCTTGTGGCCGGCCGCGCGAGAGCGCAACGTCCACGTCGCAACGCGTCTACGATGCGTGAAGCTAAACGTTTTTTCTTTTTTTTTTTTTTCCAATTTAGATGCAGATCAGAATGTCGTCGTCGTCGTCGTCGTCGTCGTCGTCGTCGTCGCGACGTCGTGAAACTCGACCGATGCGCGTCGCAACGACGACACGGCGGCGTATCGTAATCGCGTTTCGCATCACGCATATGCGTGCACAGATGCGAGTGCGGAATGTGTGAATGGCGTGCCAATGAAGCACCGTACGTACGCGGAAGAAAATCGCGCGCGTATCTAATCGAGCTTCCGCCCGATTTATCGGCCTGTTCCCCTCGAACGTGTTTGTTCATTTCGATCTCTCTCTCCTCTCTCTCGACGTCCAACTTGTTCGTTGATAAATTTATGGGCGGTTTTTGTTTAGGTTCTTGAGTTTCTCAAAAAATAATCTAACGTTAGGTATCTTCAATTTTCAAGTTGTTGCGTCTTTGACAGTTCGAGAGGCACTTCTGAATTCTCGGTTTCTTGAGGTTCTCGAGTCATCAACTTCTTCTTGAATTTTCAAGTTTCAAACGCGCCAAGTGCGCTCGAATCTTCCTCTCCTCTTAGAGCTTTTTACTTAGACCTTCCCTTACGTTCGCGATGAAGAGAGCACTCGTGGAAACAAATAGAATATCTGATCGCGCAACATGAAGACACGCATTACACAAGTAAGATCTGTTTTGATTAAAGATTATCGAGATCGCGCGAATTATCTTGTCGCAATATAATATTTCCCAAAACACGAAACGATTTACGTAATTAATATTCGGTTCTCTTTTTCTCTCTATTTGATTATTCGCGTTTTTTCCCTCGCAATTGTGGGAAAATAATCTTCCGGATTGAGAAGCCCAAATGAATAAACCGATTTTCCGCGCGATCTCGCATTTCGAATTTCCGCAAAAATGTGCATATCGCACGCGAATCGCGTTCACGGAACGAAAGACGTTTCGCGAACGCGCAACCTTTCGTCGATTTTCTGACAAAAATGTGCAATATTTACGATAAGTGAAAGAACGGGAACACGTTTTGTGAACACAATACGCGCAAAACGTTTCGTCGAAAGCGCCGCTAATGCTTCACACAAGACGGTATTATCCGAGACCGCGTTTGCATCTCGGACGTCCTTTACGATTAGTATTATTTTTCGCAACTCCCCCTCCTCTCCCTTCTCTCGTTCGTCTATGGGGATGGCGGGAAGTCTGAAGGGTTATTTGCATGTATAACACAAAACTCCGAGAACACTCCGCCGGGTTTCGGAGGGAAAAACGCGATCTCTTTTGTCCGAACGAACATCCGGAAGGGGTAAAGCAACATTTTCGTAGAAATGCATATTTGCATTTCCGTTTGCGGGAAAAAGACAAGTATTTGCAAGGAAATGTCATTATTTCGTTATCGCACAGTCTGCGATTGAAAAAGAACAACAGAAGATAATCTCTTATTTGATGTTTTATGTTAATGACATATTTGCCTATTACAAAAATATAAAAATAAAGTACGTGTAAATAATAATTTATAAATTACTTATGTGGAGTGGTAATAATTTATAAAACTAATTTACTTAACGAGATTTGTAGTTACGAGAAAAAAAACGTGATGAGATATAGAAACTATGAATTTCCTAATGTATTTCAGTTTAAAGACAATCGGAAGTATATTCTGATTCTTGTCAAGTCCGCGGCGCAAGACAAATTGTAAATAGACAATCTGAAATTCTAGATGCGATATTGAGATTAAAAAACTTGGCCGCATTTACAATTCATGAGAGAATGCAGGGAGAGGGGGGGGGGAGAGGAAAAGGGACTTCAGAGGTCCACGAGAAAAGGAGTTCTCTAATTACTTCCGCTACAGCCGTTGAACTTCTCGAAGCGACGCGCCGCGCGAAGAGAGGACATATATTCCGGAAGTTAATAATATGTATCTTAAAAGCAGACTTCAAAACTCGCTTTAAAAACTTCTTCTTTAAAACAAAAAAAAAAAAAAAACACATTTTTTTCTTGATCTCCGTGAAATGTTTTTCTTTTTTATTTTCTCGATGTCGATGCCGCGCCTCTGCGGAAAACCTGAATTTTCTGCGAAAAACCACACGCACACACACAATCTCGCATACTATCTATATTCAAGGTCACTTCGTTTCGTAACGGAATTTCTCGCGTTTATTGTTCGTCGGAATTTTGGACGCCGCGAGCAGCGGGATTACGAGGCAATTTCGGGCCGGTCTAATTGCTCGCAAAAATGTTATCAGACAGTGGTCGGATATCAGTGAAACAACTCAAGTTAATGTCCGCCGCTTAGCGCAAACGTCCATGCAATTGTTCGGGAATATTGCCAGAGATAAAGGGGAAGAGGGGGATTTAAAACGTGTTTGTGAAAAACTCCACTTAAAATACCAAAGTTTCAATGTAGTTAAAAAAAAAAAAAAAAATACTTAAAGCGGTGTAGTAACATAAAGCGCAAGATAATAGTAAAAATATCTTTGTGTATATATATATATATTTGCGCGCGTTGATTCAAATAATTAGCTGAACATTTTCACGAGCTCTATAAATTTGTTGGTTCTATTTTTTTCTTTTTTCTTTTTTTTTTATCTCATAATCGTAATTGTGTTTTATATTTAAAGAGAGCAGAGAAACTAGAGTCGACAGTTATTATTTTCTATCTTGTTAGCAAAATGCACACGCTCGAGCTTTTCTAGGACTTCTTTTCGCTTTTAAAAGTGATCATCCTTCTCCCAGGTCTGTCCGACTTAATTTTACAAAAAAAAAATATTACGCGCACACGTTTGTAATAATTTATTTTGTTTGTCGCAACGCGAGTTATTTGTCACTTTTAGTTACCAAAGAGAATCCAATTTTAGATAAAGTTCGCATTTTAGAGAACAAGAAGAAGCGCGCACGATCGACCGCGCGCACCACAAGTTTAAGAGCCTGCCGGCAATTTTCTCGAGCGGTCTCCAAATAATACTCCCTATTCACTTTCGAGCGAATTGTCAAGGCGCTTCCGTATTGTCGGGGACAACCTGTTCGCATCGTTGGTTTGCTCGCGCACAACACCTACGCAAGCCGCTGTGGCTGAAATTACCTGCGGGTGGCTTTTGTTTCGACGCCACTCTCGAAAGCGTCGCGTCGCATCCCCTCCCTCTCCTCCCCCCGTCTCTCTTCTTTTCCGTTCGCGTCGCCCGTCCTCCGTCAAGTCGCCTCGCTCTTTTGCGACCCTCTCGCGACCCTCTTAGTCGCGTTCTCTTCCTTTTCCGCGCCGCTAAACGACCGAGTTAGCTCCGAGCACAAAAAGCTCGGTCACAATCAACGCTCGTCGGAGAAAGAAAAAGAAAGACGCGCGGTTTTAGGCGCGTCGGGAGAATCGGGAGAAGAAAGAGAAGAGAGTAGGCGGTTTCCAGCGAGTAAACAGCCGTCGAGAGAACAGCGCCGAGAAAAG